CCCACGGTAAAGCCTACACCTTTATTTTTATGCATAAATGAAATCAGTAGAGGGGATAGACAGACAAGGAATGTTTAAGTGCATTGGCTAGATGTATCTGGCTGCTAAGCTAGGATATGGTATAATGTACTTCTGTAGTTGATAGATATGAGATGTGGTTTGGAACAAAGTAAGAGCTGATGATTTTAAAGTTGAGATTTTGATTGAGTCCCTGCTGTTTTTAAACTTCTTTCAAAGACTAACTTAAGGTTTGCTTGAGGACAAGCAAAAGGTAAGTCTGGGGGAGTTGATATACCATGATTTTGACCCGTTTTTTGTCATGGTATTGATATGTTTTTATAATACTTATCTATGTTTTGGAGTCTATTAGGTATGTTTTCAGGTTCAGGAGCATTTTGTAGTAAAGTGATGATTTAGGTGCCTATTGGAGCTTAAAGGAGAGTTTTACAAGATAACTATGAAGATCCGACAATGAGAGACACATATCGATCGATACACACCTTGTGTAATTGATCGATGACGATTCCGTAGAAGTTCAAGTCGAGATACTCCATCGATCGATGTACACCATGTACCATCGATCGATACAGAGCGTGATGAGCAAGATTTACTTGGCCGACTTGAAGCCCAAGTTCTAACCAAATTACAAGATTGCCCCTAACGAGTTTTTAACCTAATTTTACTAATATTTATAGTTATGCCTAATGAATCATTAGATCAAATAAGAAAGTATTGAGTTTTTATCAAAGTTTTGTATTCTGTTTTATTCTTAGCAATAAAGTATTTTCTTTTCATCTTATTCTTTTGCTATGAATCTCTTGGCCATGTCTGAGTAGATTCATTTGTTAGATTTGGGGTTCAAATAGTTATGAGGGATTAGCCCCAACTATGGAGTGCTGAATTGTTATATTCATTATCCAAATGAACCCATTAGCTTACTCTAGATTTGCTACCTAGAGTTATGATTATGGAGTGACTAATCTAATAGTCATTGTCCTGAAATCATTTGGCTAAGCTCAGACTCTATTAGGCACGCGCGATAGCCGGTCTACTAGAAATTCTCGGGTGAACACAGTTTCAATTCGATCTGATAATATATCGATCGATACTCCTATAGAGTCATCGATCGACGGCAACATATATCGATCAACACTGCGATAGCAACATCGATCGATACTGTCGGCAATCAGATCAAAGGAAGAGTCTAATAGCGACAGCTATAGATTTGTCTAAGGATTGAAGTTCTCATATATTTGCAAGCAATTCGTTAAGACATCCATAGATTTATAATCCTGATTTTCTGAATAGTAACCTTGAATCTAACTACTTTTTTCATTTTTTTTAAACCCAAAACCTATTCTCCTTAGCAACTTACCATTGCTACCAACTTTTATTTATTGTTTTGAACATTTTCAACCTAGCTTAATCACTTAAGATTATATCTTTTGTGACTCTAATTCTTTGTGGATTCGATCCCTAAGTACTACGATTGAACCTCTTGTTTGAGAGAGTAAATCACTCCTTAGGGTTAAACATTTGAGTGACATCAATTCTTCTAAAAATGGGATTTTCACCAGTATGGATATCGTGGATGATGCAGTGCATTAACTCGATTAAATATAAGGTTTTGATAAATGGTCAACTAAAAGTACATATTGTACCTAGGAGAAGATTATGTCAAGGGATCCATTATCTTCTTATTTATTCATCCTCTACACTGAAACACTAATTACAAATATAAAAAAGGGAGAAAGAGATAAACAATTGACTTGTTTAAAAATAGCACAAGGAAGCCAGAAATATTGCATTTGTTAATTGCAGATAATAGTCTGTTCTTTTACAAAGCAAATAAAGTGGAATGTGAGATTATATGAATGATTTTACGAGAATACGAAAAAGCGTTCGGCCAACAAATTAACTTTTTTAAGTCTTCTTTTCAAGTTGGCCACAAAGGTAGTACGTGATGAGTTGAAGTATTTATTGGGAATCACTATGCTTGGAGGTATGACCAGATATTCAGGCATACCAAAAAGTATGAGTGGATCAAAAACAAAAAACAAAAAAATTGTTTTTCTTGATGAAAGTTATAATGAATAAAGTGAATTGTTGGATAATAAAAATTTTCACTAAAGGAGGAAAGGAGGTCCTAGTTAAATCAGTGGTGTCGGAATGCCAATGCTTGTTATATAATGCTTTAGACTTCTAAAACAGTAACTAAGAAATTAGCAAGTACAATCGCATATTTCTGGTAGGGTATTCACTTGTTTTCAATGAATAATCTTTGTCATGACAAAGAACAAAGTGGACTGGGATTTCAAGACCTTCAAAATTCAATACGGCTCTTTTAGCCACACAATATGACTCTTTGTTTGCGAAGGTTTTCAAAGGAAGATATTATAGGAAGTCACATCCAATGGATCCAATCAAATCATGCTTGCCATCTTATGGTCGGAGGATTATCACATCTCCATATGGAATGATTCCCGGATCCCCGCTACTTTCCCAAGATCAGCTCTACCGAAATACCAATATCCGTTCCTAATCTGGCACTTACGGTTTAACATTTAATACGGTTGATCATTCCTAGAATTTTGACCTGATTAAGGTAGATATCCATCCAGAGGATATCAAAACTATTCAATCTATGTCAGTTAGTTGCTTCCAGACACCAGATTTGCTTGGATGACAGTTTGCCATTTCTGGAAAATAGAGAGTTAAATCGGGATACAAAACGGAAAATTAAATCCAAGTGTGGATATCTGACCCGTTTAATATGGTCCAACAAAAAGGCACTAGTATATTTTACTTGGAAACTGAAAGGTTCTACAAAGTAAAACATTTTATACGGAAGTAATATTCGGTTCCCTCCCTGTTACAAAGAATTTAAGGTCAGTTGGGATACAATGTGAAACACAGTGCAGCATTTGTGAAGCCGAGGAAAAAACAATTAATTATTTCTTTTTTGAATGTCCACCAGCTATTCATACATGGGTGTTATCCAATATCCTCTCCAGCCAGGAAGTTTTCCTACAATCGTCGATATGCACGGATTATTTATTTTGCAGATTACCAAAGGACTTCCAATTTAGCTACTTTCAATGGATATGTGATATATTCTGTTATTTACTAGTTTTAGACCATGTTATGGACCTCATTTAGAGTTTGTTATGTGTGTCTAGACTGTATTTCAGAGTCTTTACAGGTCCAGGTACGCTTTTGAGTTATGTGAAGCATATGGAGCATTTTGATGAAGTAACCCGTAGCAGACAAGAATCATCTAAGTCAGTGTCGATCGGCTGTTGAAGTGCGCAGGCCCAACTTTGTTCAGAACCGACTTAAACCCAAGTTACACATAACTACATGATTTCCCTTGGATGGATTTTGACCTAGTTTAAAAGGTCACTGCCATTGTTAGGTAGGAAGACTGCGCTTTTGTTTTCTATAGTTTTCTTATAACTTTTAGTATTTTTAGGAGAAAATATCTGAACTTCTTCAGATCTGTACCCAATTTATTATATATGCATTCTATTCAATTTTTAAGGCTCGTTTGCTTGATCATGTTTGAGTAGTTCATTCTGCTGCATTTAGGATTCTCAATGGTATTGATGGATTAGCCAAAACTAGAACTGCTAGGATGAATTAATATCAATCAATTGGAATTTCTCTTAATCCTTGTGTTTTAGGGTAGCTAACTAGAATTCTGAACTTAGGACATAGACAATTGCGAGAGTACGTTATGTGCCTGAATTGTTTTCGTTGAACTAGGTTGTTAGATGCATGAGAGAGCTTGTCTAATTGATTTAGTGGACCTATCAAATCTCGTCATACTTCATGTCTGATATAGCCGTCGATCGACACCAATGTTACATCACCGATCGATGGTGATTCTCTTTGTTCGCATACGAGAATTGGAACAAGATGGAATCAGACTAGTTAATATTTGAGTCCTAGCATATTAGTGTAATCTTGCATTCTACCAATTATAATCCACGTGCATAAACCTTAAATCTAGCTATTTTGCTTTATTGCGTTTATCTACGTTTAGAATATTTCATTTTCACTGGAACTTGACAACTACTATATATACATCACCTAGCTTAACCATTAGAATAATACAAATCTATTATGTGCCTTCGCTCTTTGTGGATTCGATCCATAAGTATTTCAACTCGACTTCTCTTGGCAAAAATATTGTAGTTTCATAGGGTACTTTAATAGATTTCATTAGGATACTTAAATCCTAAAAGGAATGTCTGTCAATATGTGGTATATATTGAAAAAATAGGAATGACAAGAAATGTAAAAATAAGGATGGTAATCAACATGAAATTTTGCAACATAAATCAAAGCAACCCTATGGGCGGCTCATTACATGATGTAAACAATATAGTGTGGTTTCCTAATAGGTCTACATTTTTTGAACATGGAGATCCTAGTTTGTGTTACATTGATGGAGCATGGAATGAAGAAGACAAGTTCACAACTCTGCAATCAAGGAGGCACTTAAGATCTGATCGTGGGGACAATGAGTATTCGCTGAAGTCTACACCTTTACACGTAGAGTGTGAAGCATTTATTTGAATTATGGAGTACACAACCCTTCAAATCTCAGATGTAGTGTTTGCAACAGACTGTTCTCAGTTGGTAAAGATTGTGTCTAAACCAATAAAATGGCCAGCCTTCACCACATATATGGACCAATTCTGACGATGTAAAGATATCTACCCCAACTTTACCATCCTACATATAACGAGTGTACATAATACCTTGACGGATATGCTTGCACATGGTGCTCAGCGTTCACCACCAGCTATGCTATATGTAGATTCCATACCAGCGATTTGGCTGTCTGAGTCGGATTTTTCTTCTTCCTATTAAGTAGAATAGATATTTGTTCTCAAAAAAATGTGTAATTTTAAAAAAATCTAAACTAGTTTAAGTTATTTTCCTGATTTCCCCCTTTTTAGCGGGATTCTTTGTGATGAATATAAGATTATAAAATGAGCAGAGAGGGAATTGAAAGGCACAGAGAGATGAGCTTCTTGTGGACCGTAGCGTTTGGGATTTTTACTTTTTTATTTGTCAGGATAAGCCGGTGGTTATACCGATGGTCAAACCCAAAGTGCAATGGCAAGTTACCACCGGGATCAATGGGTTTCCCGATCATTGGAGAAACAGTTGACTTCTTCAAGCCTTATGGATTCAACGAGATCTCTCCATTCGTCAAGAAGAGAATGTTAAGGTCAGATATATATGTCGTCGCCACTGTAAATTCTTATTTTCATAGCAAGAAGTATTTTAATCATGTATCCATATTTGTTCTATCATTCACAAAATATATATGTACGCGCTTATATATTCAGGTACGGACCATTGTTTCGAACGAACATACTTGGATCCAACCTCATCTTCTCGACAGATCCAGAAGTAAATTTTGAGATTTTCCGGCAAGAGAACAAGTCTTTCGTTTTTTCTATCCTTGAAAGTTCTAATACTGTTTTTGGAAAAGATAACTTGTTCCTCGAGCACGGGAACATCCACAGACAGATAAAACAAATCACTCTCCATCTTCTGGGTTCTGACGGTCTGAAACGAAGGATTATAGATGACATGGACAAAGCAACCCGCGAGCATCTTAGATCCAAGGCTAGTGAGGGTACATATGATGTTAAGGATGCAGTTGCAAGTGTAAGTATCTTTGCGTTGACTAATTGTAGTTGAATTTATTATAATGAATTTTCCGACTTTTTGTAGTTGATAATATCGTACATGACACCAAAGATGATAAGTGACCTGAAGCCTGAGACTCAAAAAAAGCTGATGAAGATTTACAAAAACTTCAACTTTGATTGGTTTAAATCAATATTTAATATATCCACCTGGAAGGCTCTCTACAAAGTCCTTATGGTGAGAGCTTAGTTCGTGTTATGTCTCATAGATTCCCTTTGTCTTTCTTTTTTTAGTTGGTAAACTTGATGTTTTATTATTTTTACGCAGGCACGCAGAGACGCGGTCAAGGTGATACAAGATGTTCTCAAGAAGAGGAAAGCGACGAGAGGGAAGTATGGAGACTTCGTTGACACAATGATAGAAGAGTTGGAGAAAGATGGCAGTATTTTTAACGATGATTACGCTATAGGCCTCATCTTCCTTGTTTCAGTCGTACCTCAGGAAGCTACCTCTACCAGTATTTCATTGATCATGAAGCATCTATCGGAAAACCCAAAAGTGCTTGCAGAGTTAAAGGTAAGCTAAGATATAAAGATCAAGGAGAAGAAGAAGTGTATGCACTATATATATACAGATTGATATAATGTAATGTTTTAATGTGGCAGAGAGAGCATGAGACCATTCTTCAAAACAGAGAGGACAAGAAATCTGGAGTTAGCTGGGATGAATACAGAAACAAGATGACTTTCACTAACATGGTAATTCTCAAACTCCTTAATTAAGATTTAGTAGTATATGAGTTTCACATGGCACTCATAACATAGGTTATCAATGAGTCACTTCGACTGGGAAACACGGCCCCAGTGTTGTTTAGAAAGGCGGTGAATGATGTCGAGATCAATGGTAAGCCGTCTTGTATTCATGTGCCACAACATCAAAACTATATATATATATATATATATATATATATATATATATATTTATAAATAGTTGAAATTTGGTAACAACAGGATATATATATATATATATATATATATATATATATATTTGATCAAAAAATATATATATATTTATAAATAGTTGAAATTTGGTAACAACAGGATACACTATTCCAGCGGGTTGGACGGTGGCTGTTGCACCTCCAGTTGTTCATTGTGACCCTCAAGTATATGAAAATCCATTTGAGTTTAACCCATGGAGATGGGCAGGGAAAGATGTACGAGGGGGCTCTAAAACATTTGTTGTGTTCGGCGTTGGAGTGAGACAGTGTGCTGGAGCAGAGTTTGCAAGGCTTCAGATGGCAATCTTTATTCATTATCTTGTCACCAACTACGATTTCTCACTGGCCAGAGAGTGCGAGGTGATCCGGACACCTATACCAAACTTTTCCAACGGCCTCTGTTTCAATATCTCCAAGTCTCCTGAGTGATTCACTGGCTTAGCGGATTTCAAAGCTTGCCAAAACGTCTTTAGTTTCATTGTCTTTTCTTATCTTCGAATAAAATAATTGTATTTTCTAGTTTTGAATAAAAGAATTGCCAAAACGTCTTTACTTTCTAATTTATAATTTCTAAAGAATCCTAAATTTCTCTATATTATTTTCTGTTAATCTTTATGAAGAGATTTCTGTACTACATATACAGACCCTACAACTAATAAGGAATATTTACAATTTTATTTCATAATTATTGTATAATTTTTATATATCCGAACACTTTTTCCTCTTTTCCCTCTCAAATTGGAACATGGAAATTTCAAATGTCCAATTTGGGTAAGATCGTTTGAAAATGATATCTTTCAAGCACTATCGTCAAATGATCCGTTGTTGGTACATTATTCTGTGCGTAACATCTCTATTTGTATGTCATTCTTGATGAAGTGACAATCTGACTCTATATGTTCGATTCTCTCATGAAACACATGATTAGTTGTAATGCGAAAAAGCATATTTACTATCACAATGCATATCTGTAGCATTTGAATGTTCAATATACATAGATGATAACACATCCTTAATCCACTTCAACTCCTTCAGTACAGTAATCATAGTTCTATATTCTACTTCGCCTGATGAAAGAGACACCGCATCAAGTTTCTTTGCCTTCCAAAATACAGGATAAGATATCAACTGTACTAACCAACAATTCAAAGACTTCCTGATAATAGGACATCCAGTCCAAATAGGGTCGCACCATGCTGTGAAATAAAAATTACAATCATTTTAACAAAAATCTCATTCTAGGACATCCTTTCAAATAACAAACAACTCTCAACGCTGCTAACAAATGATCCTCCATTAGTTTCTGCATAAAATGAAACAAGATGTGGACTGAATATGCAACATCAGGTCTAGTCGCAGCCAAATATATCAATCGTCCAACCAATCTCCAATACTTTTTTGGATTGGTAAGTGTATTCTCTTCAAAACCTTTCCAACTATGTTGGGATTGTGATATCTCATGTCCAACTCTATATTATCCGATTAGTATGATATTGTCCACTTTGATCATAAAAGACTGACTCACATGGATTTACTTTTAGTTTTCATTCCAAAAGGTCTCGTACTAATTAGAGTTGAACTGCTCATTATATATCAGACACTTCTTATCTAATTCTACAATGTGGGATTTAGTTTGTTATCTCACATTCTCCCCCTCAAACTACAGATCACATTCAGCTTGTTTCCCACAACTGACTTCCAGGATCTTTTGACTTGATCTCTGCCTCACACACCCCTCATCCTAACTCGAAGGGTACCATTCCTACTCAAAAGGTATTTTGGTATTCTTGCAGATTTTTCGTCAAACTGCTCTAATACTTATTGTTGGAATTGTGATATCTCATGTCTAACTCTATATTATTTGATTAGTACGATATTGTCTACTTTCGACCTAAGAAACTGGCCCACATGGATTTACTTTTGGTTCTCAGAAAATGCCTCATACTAATTAGAGTTGAACTTCTATTTATACATTAAATACTTCTTGTCTAATTCTCCAATGTGGAACTTAGTTTGTTATCTCACAGACTAATGGTTAAGTTCCATTGGAAATTCCATTGGTTTACCACCAGCAACCTAACATCAGAAATAATATCAAGAACATACTTTCTCTGAGATAAATATTTACCTTTTTTGGTGCGTGTAACTTATATTCCTTCAGCATGTGGTTCAATGAAAAATCAAATATGAGAAACACTAGTGGTGTTATAAGTAAAGAAGAGAAGAGAAGAATTGGTATGTTTTATTCATTGAGTAATGAATCATTTATATAGGATTACAATAACTTGGAGACAAAGTCTAACTTGGAGTGGGAAACAAGTATATCTAGAACTTTCCATATGGACATTATCACAATATTCATAACACTTCCCCTTGATGTCCATTATTCTAAAGTGCTTTCAAAACGCCATAGATGCTGCCTCGTTAAAAACCTTATTTAGGAAAACCCAGTGGGAAAAACAATGATTAAGGTAAAAAGAGTGCAGCGCGTTATGACTTCCCCTCATGTAAACATAAGTTGAGATCTTTGAGATAACGTAATCCAATTAGATGAACTAACTTCTTGAAAATATCAGTGGTGCACGCCTTGGTGAATAAGTCAGTGGAATGTCACCTGAACAAACTTGTAGGACACAGACATTGCCATTCTTTTGCAGTGCATGAGTCATATGACTCATGCTGGTTCTTGCTAAGATTCATGATCTCAAATGATATAGAATGATAATAGACTTTCATCTTTGAAATGATAACATTCACTTTGGGTGTCTATCATTTGTGTGTTTTTTGTTGCCTCGTTAAATCCTTGATATGGATAAATCCAGTGGGATAAAAGCCATAATAAGGAAAAAGAGTACAACCACATAATCAAATTTCTCAATCATGAAAAGATTAGTAACTTACTCATACTACACTTTAGTATGGTACTTCAGGACCAAACATATACAAGGCTTTAATATATATCCCATGAAAGTGAATTTGTCTTAATTCGATCGACTAGAGTTCCTAGGAACATGATTTTGATATCATCAATCCTTCATGGATTCTACTTTCAGGGATCAATATTTTCAAGTGGATTGTATCATTCAAAATCTTCCTTTATTACGAGACTAATAAGGAACTTGAACATAGTTGCTTCTTCCATATGAGACTATGTCTCTTCACAAATAATTACATATTGATCTGTCAATGAGCAACAAATCGTTTCTATCACACTTGTTTTACACTTTATAGTGTATGGACTACTGGTCTCTTTCACAAGAGTTTGAATCTTTACCTATTGTTTCTTTTTGAATTGGCAAATCATTTCTTTGTGTACACTTTCAATAGACTTTATTTCATGATCTTCTTTCTCATTCATCATATCAACTGCTGCTTCACATGAATTAATATCATCGATGTCGATTTGCTTATTGGTTCCATTCTATACATGACATAATTTATTGAGATCTTTCATTGTCTCAGTTACCTGAATTTATTTCAGTCATGTTTAATGTCTCTTTTAGAGATTATTCAAAAACTTTATTTCCTCGTAACCATTATTAATTTATGCTCCTTTTCATTTGCGAGGATTTTTATCTTTGGAACCAACATGTCTACCACGCTTCAGGCGTGACTTAGATTTGCTAGTAGTTTGATATTGTTGTTCTAGAACATCAATTCTTATTGGAGCAATTACAGCTGGTAATGTTACTTGATTACTTTATTTATATGGGCCGTGTCTGGTAACTGCTTTACTAAGCTTTGTACCTGAATTATCTTTTGGACTTGTATTTCACATTGTGTTTAGCACGAAGATCAATGATAATCCATTTCAACTTATTTTCTTTTCTAGGTGTTTATTCTCCACCTTATGTTGGAATAGTAATTCACTTTTAGTATTCATAGAGGCTTACTTATATCCTTTGAGATGGCGCTAGATTTTTCAGTATCAATGGAGATTCATATCAAACATATATTCCCAACTTCATTTGAAAAAACATGTTAGTTAAGTTTTGTGTAGAACAACCAGAATGTATATTGCACATCCAAAACTCTTAAACAAAAATGATTGGTTTCCGACCAAATACCAATGATGGGGGAGAACTAATGATTACTTGTTGGTTTGATGCGAATTATGTTGCTCAAAATGTTCAATACTTATTCCAATGAATATGCATCAATTGTCAAATACTTAGACATGAATTCACCAAGATTATATAGATGCATAGTGAGTGATCAGTCCGTAACATCTCTTGTATTCATGCCAATAACTTTCTTTGGTTGGTGAAATACGTATAACTCTTTAATTTTATGAGCAAGCAACATATGTGAAATCATTCGCAAGAATCTTCTGGTTCTTCAATGAATAGTCACATAAATCTTTATGTATATTTTCGCATCATTACTGAACCAAAATGATCTAATTGGTTCATGCCAAATATTTTGTAGACTTCTGGTTTACGATATGTTTATCTCCATCATACTAATCTTTGGATAGTACAATATATAAGAGATTAGAGGTACTCTCTCTAAAATATTTATACTACCTTGAGAAATATTTCTGATTTGAAATGTATATAGCATTTATTTTGCTTATTATCCCAACTTAAGTGTCTCATAATCCCAAATATTTAATTTGAAAATAATTCATCAATCTTAGTTTTAGTGCAAACATAATCTTCTGGATGTTTCATAAAATTTGAGATTCTTTAACTCTTCCCCTCGAGATGACAATAATACAAATTTATCAATCTCAAATGAATCACATTTTCAATCAACAATATACCCACATAGGTCATATATTCTTTCTTAGATCCTTCTAACTTTTGAGACTTACAAGAATATGATACAATAAGGATTCTAAATTGCATTCTTATGTGCAGTAATATTATGTACTCTTCTAGAGCATCATATATATATCCTCTTCGTGAACAATCAATAAGGTTTTACTACCTTATATTTTACTTACAATAATTTTCTCAATTTCAAATGAGAGTATGAGATCTAAAAACAAAATCTCTTTGGTCTTTCTTTATTATCATCTTTATTTTTCTCGCCTTCAAGTGAGAGTATGAGTTTTAAAAATAAACTCTTTAGAGCTTGACCTTATATATATCCACATTCACGTCTACATCTAATTTTATGTTCTTGAACAATACTATTTGTGTGGATTCTCTTTCCACATAGTAAATGTCATATTCTATTTAAGAGAGGGATCACAATCAACTAAACGTGATTTATCATCTTACATCAGTAGCTCACTATTTTCGAAGTCTCAAAGAGACAAGATACAAGTATAAATTTCTTTAATTTCTTTTTTCAATCATGTGTTTTCTAGATAACATTACTCTTATAAAAAATATATATTTTCCAATATATATGCATCATTAAATTTTATTTTGAGGAATTTTTCTTTTAAACTTAACATCCAACATAGTTGAACTTTATTTACAGACTTCAGGTCTTGTAATCTTTAGACTTCAAGTCTTATAATCTTTAGATGCAAAAATATATAATGAGCTATAGGTACACATGTTGGTGATAATATCTTTCTTTAGATTGTTCTCCAAAATTTATAATTTTTTTAATGGTAAGCCTTAAACTTAAAATTCTTATATATATAATGGTAATAAAATATAATAAT